TACTTGAATTTAGTAAATGTTGATTTTGTGCTTGAAAAGTCCTTGAATTTCATGAAAATGTCCTTGAATTTTTAGAAAGAATCCTTGCCTGTAATAAAAAGAAATTTTGTACCATCAATAATGTGCAAACCTCAATAAAAATTGCGTTAAATGAGCTTAAAGCTATAGACACGATAGACAGTTAAAAGATGATCACAAATTACAGTAAGTCAGTAAAATCAGTCAGTAAATCAAGGTATGTTGTAGAAGTGACAGTGTTTAGAAGGGTTTATTAATGTGATCCAGGTAAGTTTTAGAGGTGACATGCAGTGATTAAGAATGGGGTTATTAAATTAATCCACGTATGTTTTGTTCTGTGTATGAATTCCAATAAAATGTCTGATAAAATGTCCTTGAATTTCCGATAAAATGTCCTTGAAAAGTCCTTGAAAAAAATTTCAGTCCTGTATGAACCATGAACGCGGATGCAGTAGTGCAGGGGATCTCGTGTCTCGTAGAGATGGTGCGGGTTTCCACTTCACACACCGGTGTCCGGTCACGGGGTCGCGTAGCAAGGGGGCAGCAGCAGTCAAGCGAGTAAAGGGGTCGAGCGTAAGTCAATGAAGATTCCGATACTTGCCTTACCACTCTTTCACACACGCACACGTACGAACGCATACACATACACATACGTACTTTCTCTATCTATCTCTCTCCCTCTCTCTCCTCCTCTCTCTTATTTTTGCTCCTCTCTCTCTCTTTTGCTCGCTCTCTCCTCTCTCTCTCCCTCCCTTTCTTTCTCTTTCTCTCTCGCTCTCTTTTTCTCAACACTCTCAGACCCTTGATAATTTTGCTTCATTGTCTGGCAATGCCTGCATAATAGACACGTTGCCGCACAGGTGTTTGATAGTTGAAGGGGAAGTAAACAAACTTTCTAAATCAAACTTGCTGTCCATAGCAACAAGGTTGTAAATCATTAGCATGTTTACTGACACTGAAAGTGCAGATAGCATATACGATGGAAGCAGAATGCTATTTTCTTGTGTTTTTTTGTGTCGTTTTTTGCCCATGCCATGTGCAGTGAAGGTCTAGATTTTCGCAGCACTCCTGAGCTGGAGCGATGCTGTATTTCTGTTTGTTTAATTATTTAGTCCGTCTGCTGGTTTCTTGCTGCTGTCGTTACGAATCACTGGTAACACTTCCTCCTCACTCCCCCTCTCTCTAACTTGCTTACTCTCACTCTCTCTTTCTATCTGTTCTATTCCTTTCTCACCTCCCTCCCACCCTCTCTTCCCCCTCTCTCTTTCCCTCTTGCTCTAATCTTCCTTCGTGCCACCCTTGCTTTCTGCTCTCTCCCCCTCCTGCTGTAATCCCCTTCTTCCTATTCCTCTCTTCACCCTTCCCATCCTCGCGTTTATCTGTCTGCCTCGCCCCACTTCCTCCCCATTTCTCTGTATCTGTATGTCAGCCACTCATGCAGCATGAATTACTCACAGGGGAGGACCACCCGCTTGCCTCTCCGTCCGACGTCGACAGTGACAGCGGCAGCGCCGTGAAGAGGAAGCCAGGGGGCAGGTCGCGCAAGAAGAGGCCGTCGCCGGAGGAGCGGGGAGTGGTCTCAGAGACGCAGTCCGACACCTCAAGCGGCAGCGCCGGCGGCGGAAAGAAGCAGGTAAAAAAAAAAAAGTTAAAAAAAAAGAAGAAGAAGAGACTCGTCGTTGCATTGCTATAGCGTCGAACTGGTGTTATTGGCCACCTCCGTAGAAAGGACACCCGTCTATAAAAAACGTGGCATATCCCCTGAATGACACGTATACAGTAAAACAACCATAATGAAAGAGACGCCTGGTAATAAAGAGTACTTGACATTTCGCTCAAGGAGCGGTTATAGAGTCATAACTTTTCCGGTCTTATATCTTATATAATGGCACTTGTCATTATCGTAGAGCTACCGTGCTTCTGACAATAGCCCTCGTTATTGGGTATGTTATTAGCAACCTGCAATGTACAAACAGGATTCCACATCATTTGGGTTGATTGTAAGTTGATTTTTGCCTCATTAGTAATTGAGTATTAAGTCATTAGGCATTTCCAACAGGAGACATGACACGCAGTCATAGTGAGTCACAGCTTTATCTCGTTTGGCAGATCCTTTTACTCATTAAACATTAACGAGGGATGAGTAGGAGTAATCGACGAGCCACCGTCTCGCTCCCGCATGTTCCTGCGTGCATAATTAATTCACGTATAATCTGCCCGTACATCCGCGATCATTCGTGCATTAACGACTCATCAGCAGAGCTCATTAGTGATGCTGCATGCTGATTTCCCTGACCTGGCTCGTGCTTTGTGAGTTAATCGCGGGCGCGAGGCAGCACTTCTCCTGTGGGATATGCAGGGATGCGATCGTTACCTGCAAACGATGCGTGGTCGGGATGTAGCGATCCAGTTGAGAAATGTCTATGTGTGCGGTGACAGGAAGGCTTGATACGTGTGTTACTGTGACTTTATATGTAACAGCTATGACACGACTCACAGCTGTTGTCATGCACCTGTGGTATACATTGATATTTAGTTACAGTGCTTGTCATAATCCTGTACTCTCAACCACAGACATTTAGGCCCGTCCATGTGCCGCCGTCATACAGTAGAATATTTAAGGGCGTTGGTTGACTGGGCAAGCATAATAAAGGGAATCAAGAAAACTTATCTCAGTTTTGTCCAATTTCTCTTGGTTGTCCACTGGAATAATATCACCATTATTAGATTGGCCTGTGTAATATATAGCTTTCTCCTTTGTATTAAATAGATATGTCATAGAATGTAATACAGGTTGAAGGATGTGTTTAATAACAACGCATACCTTTTCCTAATCTTTTTTTTGTCACAGCAAGTATCTAGTTTTACGTATCTAGTGGTGAAACAGTGACCCAGTTGAACATGTGCCCTAGATCTGTAGATATCATGGATTGAAACAGTTTCCATCCATAATCACGAAATGTGATACCAATCATAATCATACTACATCATCATCCATTCATTTTTCTACCTTTATATCTCACATTTTACTCATTTAATAATAAACTAATCACTGTTTAAGCATTAGGCTACCATATAAAGAAAATTATACACAATAAATAAGATTTGAATGGATAATGCCTGAAATATTGAAGGCATTTTAGAAAGTAAGTATTGACAATTTCAGCCATGGACAACTAATTACAAGATTCAAAACTTAAAATGTAGAATACTCGTCGCCTATGTGCCCTTGAACAGTTGAAGCATTGGACACGTTTAGGTGAGTGCGCAGCAGGTCTAACGGCTCGAATGTGTTTCAGGAATCGCAGCCGGCGGCGGCGCTGTCAGCAGACGCACTTGGAAACAAGATGGCGGAGGAGCTGCGTTACTTCATTAGCGTTGACGAGCGTCTGCAGTGGCTGGGAACAATCGAGCAGATCCATGCGAGCGGCGCACGCCAGCAAGCCAGCGTCGCCTTCTCCAACTCGCTCGTGGTGAGTGTGACGGCGCCCCCTAGCGGAGGAGAACCGTGTTGAGATACGTGTCGCTCTCGATCGCTGTCACTCTATCTCACGCTCTATCCTGCTTGCTCTCCCCATCTCTCTCTCTCTATCTCACCCCTGTCCATGTCTCTCTATTCTCACCGCCCTCCCTGTCTATCGTGTTTGCTTGCTCTCCCCATCTCTCTCTCTATCTCACCCCCTGCCCATGTCTCTCTATTCTCACCGCCCTCCCACTCTATCGTGTTTTTTTCAACTCCCTGTCTGTTTCTCTATAATTCGCTTCTCGTCTCTCTCACCTCCACATGAGACTAACGACGTCTTTCCCTCGCCGCGGCAGCACCACCAGGAGGCGCTACAGGAGGCGCAGCAGCAGAGCGCGCTGGCGACGCAGCAGGCGTTGCAGACGATGAGCGACGCGCAGCGCGAGACGGTGGCGGCGCTGCGCGACACGACGCACGAGGCGCTACGCTCGCAGAACGCCGTCGCTCGCTTTACCGCCGAGGCCGCTCGCCACCTCGCACAGGTAGGGCTCGTCAGGGTTACCTGCTGCAGGTAGCCAACGTTAGCTAACACTACCTGGTCGCACAGGTATGGCTCGTCAGGGTTACCTGATGCAGGTAGCCAACGTTAGCTAACACCTGGTCGCCTAGGTCACAGCAGAGGTCACCCACCACCTCGCGTAGGTAAGCTAATCAGTGCATACTTGGTGCAGGTAAGCTAATCAGTTGAACACTATTCCTGGTACAGGTATGCTCGTCAATGTGACACTATACTTGGTGCAGGTAACCGACGTTAGGTAACCCTGTAACCGGTCGCACGCCGTGATGTGTCCTTGCTCAGCTTTATGCATGGGAATACTTGTTGTTTTAACACAGTCGCTGCAGCAGCCTGACAGTGGCGTGCGCAGCCTGCAGAGGGAGCTAGCACATGGCTCAGTTGACACGCTTGTGACATCACGCGCCGTTCAGGTTGGCAAGGGCCTTGCCGCAGTCAAGGAGCGTACCAGGTACGTGCAGTTAATTAGTTAGTTAGTGAACGACGTATTTATTTGTTCATTTATTTATGCATTCGTTCGTTCACTCACTGATTCCATCCTTTCATTAATTCGTTATTTCATTCCATTAATTCCTGTATGCATGCGTGCTTGCGTTCCTTGTTCATTCATTCATTCACACATGAACACACATAAATTCATTCATTCATTCATTCATTTATTCATTCATTCATCCACTCAGTCACTCATTCAGTGAGTAGTCCTAAACATCTGTGGCGAACATAGCACCATGGCTAACTGCTGCGCTCCTTCTCTCGATGTTACAGCGCAGCGGAGAATCTGAGCGCTTCGAGTGCACCGTCCAGCCAGTCCGACCACTCTCGCGTGTCGTCCACCGCTGCCAGCTCGGCCACACTCTCCCAGCGGTCAGCTGCCGCCAAGTCGCACGGGTCCCCGACGGCTTCAGAGCGTTCTTCGGAGAGGTCAACTGCCTCCAGTCGGCCGTCGTCCAGTCCCTCCGGACACTCGGTGGTAACGTCAGACGCGCGGCCAGAGGAGAGGAGGGTGCCGAAGCCGAGAAGGAGGACACTGCCATCCAGGAAAGAGGAGTTGTCGGAGAGGAAGGTGGAGGAGGAGGGGCTTGCCGCGACGCAGAAAGTTAGCGAGGCGTTGGACGCGGGGGAGGAGGAGAGCATCCCAGAGGAGAGCATCCCGGAAGAGAGCATCGCAGAAGAAAGCATTCCGGAAGAGAGCATCCCAGGAAAACGTATCCAGAAGCAGAGCATCCCAGAGAAGAACATTCGAGAGAAAAGCGTCCGGGAAGAGAGCATCCAGGAGGAGGCTGCAGCGCACGAGTCGTCGACGACGACAGCGTCTGAGTCTCTGCCCAGTCGTTACGAGTCGCCGTCCGATAAACCAGGTGGGGGGATGTTTGATGACAGCTGACTGCAGCCTCTTCATACCTAGTCTACAGTCTATGTCTTTACCCGTTTATCACAGTATATTACACATACGCCTTACACGTCTAGGGCATCAGTTGGTCTTTGGATAATATTAATCACTTACCTGTCCAATGTTGCTTCAGCATATTGCTTGTACAGTTGTTGTAATTTATTTACTGGGTGCTATATGCATGCCTAAATGCAACAAAAAATGTGTCATAAAAATAGGATTTTAAAGTAAATCTGCTGATGTCTGCTGAATTAGGTGAAAATAGGGTCAGGGAATGATGCTCTGTCGCTCAAAATTATTTAAAACTGGATTTGCTCACCCCTGGACCCTTGGACTACTGCCCTTCCCCCGCTCCAGCAAAAAATAGTTATTGTTAAAAAATTAATTATTATATTATATAATATACCGCCCTGTTGTAATGCTGACTACACATTGCTGCTCTCTCTCTCTTACAGTTGAAGTGCAGCAGCACGTGAAGGCGACAGGAGACACCCTGCAGGTGTCCTTTATGGCCGTGCTACCCTCTGAGGCGCACCGGAGGAACCTGCAGCATTCCGTAGTCACGGACAGGAGAAACCTGGATCGATCCGCACCGGCCGAGGGAGAGGACCCCTCATCGATTGGGAGTTCCGCGCTGAGGATAGAGGATCTTGCCGTGCCATTCGGGAAAGAGGATTCGTTCGCTCGGTATGGCCCTATATGTGACACTTATATGTGACACCTATATGTGAGACTTTAGGTGAGACATATATATATGACATATAGGTGACATATTCCATTATGAAACCTTTCTTATACGACACATGTGGATGACCTTGATTGACCTTGATTCACCGCTAACCTTTCATATCTTCATGACATCGAGTGATGAGCTAGTTGGAGCTACATGATGCAGTGCGATGGATATTTGCCCCCGGCCCAATACTTTCCCCTAATATTTCACGTTAGATGTTGGTTAACCATATTCCTGTTCTAGTTTAATGTGCGAGTATTACGTGGGCAACGAATGTAATCGGTTCGAAAATATCAGCCGGAAGTCGGATTTTATTGAACTTGATACTTAATTGTTAGAGGAATGGTTTATTTCAAAACTACAATTTTGTTTTTTGAACATGGATTTTTAGTCGTTTTTTTTTTATGTCGGATGTTCATAACCTGGGACTAATGGTAATTGTTATATTATCACAATAACAAGATGACCATGTGTAATTAGGAGGAGAATCGAGTGAAACTTCCCATTCTTGTATTTATTTTGTCTTACAGAGCAATTAATGACCTGTGTTATTTACTTGACATCCCCCCCCCCGACTCAATACCCCACTCGAACTGACCAATGTAACCTTTGCTATGTTTTTATTTTTTATTTTGACACCCTATGCTGTTACATATTTACGCGTGTATTATGTTGCTTGCAGGTTGACGGTGGAGATGGTGAGCATGTACATGCAGGATGAACAGCGACGATGCGAGCACCAGGTGGCGCTACTGAAACTGCGTGAAACTGCGCTGGCAGACAAGACAAAGGCCGAGGTAGCCTGGCTGCAGATGAAGAAAGAGTAAGAAATATTTCTGTCTCCTGCCTGAATGTACGAGGGTATATATGACTGGCTGTGTGTTAGGACCATGGTAGAGTCATTGGGTATGTTATAGGGCTATACTAGTGTCATTGGGTGTGTTATAGTGCTACAGCAGTGTCACTGGGTATGTTATAGGACCATACTAGTGTCCTTGGGTGTGTTATAGTGCTACAGCAGTGTCACTGGGTATGTTATAGGACCATACTAGTGTCACTGGGTGTGTTATAGGGTTACAGCAGTGTCACTGGGTGTGTTATAGGGTTACAGCAGTGTCACTGGGTGTGTTATACGGCCATACTATTGTTATTTGGTGTGTTATATGAATTTGACCTTGTCACTGGGCTGTGTGCATGTCATGCTGCTAACATGTTCATCATACGGGTTCACTCACAGCAAGCTGCGAGACAAGGGACGCGACGAGATTATGCCCATCCGCCACCAGCAGAGGGCGCTACTTCAAAAACTGGAGCATGAGCGTGCAGAGATGCGCAGACTCCAGGAAGCCAACCTTGCAGCAAGCCAGGTGCATGCACGCGAGCTGTTCTTCTGTTTAAATGTGGCCCCTCATACAGACGGGAGGGACGCTGCTCAAAGTGAAATCGAATTGCTGTATTGCATTGTGTAGCATTGCATCACGTTGCAATGCGTCGCATTGCCGTTGCACTACATGCATTTATTTCTTGCAAGCTTTGTCGCTCAAACTTTCATCATCACAGTTGCAAAGCCATCACATTTTGCAAAGCCAAGATGCTCATCTCATCCTCTCTGCACCCCCTTGCATCCCTAGGAGAGGCAATTGTTGCTACGGCAACAGGAGGAGCTGCTGAAGCTGCAGCAAACGACGCGGAAGATCAAGCACAAGCTGAAGTCGTCGCTGCTCAACGACGGCAGCGGAGACAGCGAGAGCGTTGCCATGGAGATGGAGGACAGCACAGCGCAGGCGTCCGGCGTTGTGCAGACGGAGGATGAAGTCAGCTTAGCGGTGCGAGGCTTCTTAGTACTCCCCCGTCGCAAAATGTCAAGGAATGTCGTAACTACTTAGTGACAACTCGATTTTCAAATAAGAAAACGATCTATGATCCAGATAAAGGTATAGGAGTTCGTCGTTTCTTTTTGTTCCAGCTTGATGAAGAGTCTGTGGAGGAGAATGTCTCAACGGCATCGAAAACAGCGCCCTCTAGCGATCGTAGTACACACTCCACCGTCAGGGAAGATATTCCAGCAGAGTTTGGTAGGCTTTCACCTGGTCTACCTGTTCTATACCCAATTTGTTAGTCTAGTTGACTTACGACTGGTGAGGTCTGTATAATAACTGCTCAGGTCGTTGAAGTGACCACTCAGGTTGGTGGAGTGACTGCCCAGGTTGCTATAGTGACTGCCCAGGTTGCTGTAGTAACTGCTCAGGTTGGTGTGGTTACCACTCAGGTTGGTGTGGTGACTGCCCAGGTTGTACTGCTCAGGTTGGTGTGGTTACCACTCAGGTTGGTGTGGTGACTGCCCAGGTTGCTATAGTGACTGTTCAGGTTGGTGGAGTGTACCCTTAGGTGGGTGTGGTTACTGCTGTAATGATTCCTGTCATCGTTATTCTCCTTCATAGTCGAAGAGTCGCAATCCAAGAGCATCAGTGAAGATGTAAAGTCGGAGATTTCATCGCGGGGCATTGAGGAGGAGCAGGAGGAGGATGAGGAGCTGGAGGGGGAGGAGGAGGACACGTCTAGCCCGTCGCAAGACCTGTCCGTGCCGTCGACGAGCTCGGTGTCTCGCAGCGAAGCCAGCGTGCCGCTGAAGCTGCGCAAGCTGCAGGAGCAGCTGAACGAGAGGTACGCATCCCGCGGTAACGCAGCATCCGCAGATGATCATCACACACCGGATCGCACACCGCATCCCGCTGTAAAGCAGCATCCGTGGATCGCGCACCGCATCCCGCTGTAAAGCAGCATCCGTGGATCGCGCACCGCATCCCGCTGTAAAGCAGCATCCGTGGATCGCGCACCGCATCCCGCGGTCACGCAGCATCTGCGGATCGCGCACCGCGTCCCGCGGTCACGCAGCATCCGCGGATCGCGCACCGCGTCCCGCGGTCACGCAGCATCCGCGGATCGCGCACCGCATCCCGCGGTCACGCAGCATCCGCGGATCGCGCACCGCGTCCCGCGGTCACGCAGCATCTGGGGATCACGCACCGCGTCACGCAGCATCCGCGGATCGCTCACCGCATGCCGCGGTCACGCAGCATCCGCGGATCGCGCACCGCATGCCGCGCTCACGCAGCATCCGCGGATCGCGCACTGCGTCCCGCGGTCACGCAGCATCTGGGGATCACGCACCGCATCCCGCGGTCACGCAGCATCCGTGGATCACACCGCATCCCGCTGTAAAGCGTCATCCGCGGATCGCGCACCGCATCCTGCGGTCACGCAGCATCCGCGGATCGCGCAGCGCATCCCGCGGCAATGCAGCATCCGCGGATCGCGCACCGCATCCCGCGGTCACGCAGATTGTATCCCAGATCCAGTGATCATATTATTAGCTCATCTGACGTAGTCAGATGCAGCTTGTAGAATCGCATGATTGTCCGTCCGTGCGTGCGTCCGTGCGTCCTTCAACAGTTCTTATCTTAAAAACACAAATCTTAACCGCTCGACGTACGGTCACGATATTCTGGACGTGGGGGGGGGGATCGTGAAAAGGACTCGGGATGATCAATTTGGGGGTCAAGGGTCAAGGGTCAAGG